CGCACTAGTGAGAGGATAATGATGTCATTCTCTTCCCCTTGGTATTTGTCCACCACATGTACCTTGACACCAGCAAATGTCTTAGCTGGCATGAGTTTGCGCAGACAGAACAGCTGCCCAGTGTAGGTGGTGAGGATGGTGATCTGGGAGGGCAGATATTCCTGGCATAGGAAGTACTTGCACAGCTCCACCACAAAGTGAGCCTCGTGCTGGTTTTGGTGGCTTTTGCCTTCGTGGATTTCCTGTTCAGGAAAGTTGTGTTCTATAAAGAAAAGGTTAGAAGCGACCCCCTGGAAAGAAGAAAAAGTGACATGTTAGGAAGTTCTCTCCTGGCAGTTTTCTCTTTCTAGTTTCACATTTGTTGGTTATTGACTCTGAAAGCCTTTTGTATACTGGGTATCACAATCTTTAACCCTATAGTCACCATGTGCTCTGGTTTTTTTTTTTTTTTGGCATTGACAAATAGTGAAATGGATAAAGAATATATGCCTAATTTTAGTTTTCAAGATACTTATTTGATATTAATATTTATAACGGCCATCCATAATCCCACCATTGTAGTCCAGGGAATAAGCAGCTGTTATGATGATGAAGATGAGAGAGAAGATTAATTATGAGCACTCTAGCATGCTGATTGCTTTACATATCTTCTCTCCTTCAATCCAATAATGTAATGAGGCAACAGACATTCTCCCTGTACAGAAGACCTTAATGTTCATAATTGGTATATAACTTGCTAAAATGTTACACAGCTACTAACTGGCAGAGCTGGGGTTCATACCTAGATCTCTATTCTCCAATTCTATAAATATTCCTCCTTTTAAAAACCAGCTTTTTATAAAGTTGGCTCTATTCCCTTCTAAAAGCTCTTATTCAACCTGAGGAAATACAGCCTCCTAGGTCAATGACAGCAGCAGATTAAGTAGGATAGACTCACCTTAATATTGTCATATTTGAGAACAGAGGGATGATTCTCTAGATCCTGGTAAATGTGGGGTGTCAAAAGCCGGGCAATTTCAGGGCGCATGCGGTGCTGAAACAGACATGTACATCATTAAGACATGGGCAGAGAATAAATGCACAATTTTCTAAACACTAGGTTATTAGTGGAAAATCGGGGGAAGTAACATTTGAAAATAAGAATAAGGAGAAAAGAGCAGAATGTAAATAGCTCCTTCACTCAACACACACTCAACATGGGTTGATCTTGTGATTGCAATATTTTAAAACGGAAAACAAAATAAGTTTGAGAGTCACTTTATCACTAAAGCAGTTTTATTTTTATGAGAACTTTCTTACTGGCTGTTGGCAGGCTTCCAGGAGCCTTCTTCCTAGACAATTCATGATAACAGAGGCCCAGCTTCTCACCTGGTAATTCAGACGAACAAAGGGAATGTTTACTTTCACCAGCCGTTCAAAGAGGGACACCTCAAGGTTGAAATTCTTGGCAAGATCATACACATTGGCACTGGGGCGCAGCTGAAAAAAGAAACAATAGCTGAGAATTCTCTACTGAAAACATATTCATCTACCCACCCATCAAATGCTTTTTAAGTGCCTTCTATTGACAGGCACTGCTCTAGGTGCTGGCAGGCTAAGTAAGGATGGAGTGACCAGGGTTACATATTCTTTAGCTAGGCCTCTCTGAACAGTGACATTTCAGATGATGTCAGAATTGAAGAGGTTGCCAGTCATTTGAAAAGCCAGCCATGAGAGGGAGCAGATAGGGGGTGGGAACACAATGAGATGGTGGTATGCAGTGAATTCAGAGAAGCAGGCTGACCCCTCAGAATACTGTAGGCCACTTAATTTTTTTTTATTTTTTCAAAATATTTTATTGATTTTTTTCAGAGACTAAGAGAGAGGAATAGAGTTTAGAAACATCAATGAGAGAGAAACATCTATTAGCTGCCTCTTGCACACCCCATACTGGGCATGTGCCCACAACCAAGGTACATGCCCTTGACTAGAATCGAACCTGGGACCTTTTAGTCCACAGGCCAATACTCTATCCACTGAACCAAACCAGTTAGGCTGTAGGCCACTTTAAGCTTGATTTTTATATTAAATGTAATGAGAAACTACAGGAGAGTTTTGAGCTGGGAGTGGCATAATCTGATTTACTTAAAAAAAAAAAATTCACAGCAGCTTTAATAATGGGTTAGAGGTTGGCAAAAATGGAAGCAGGGGACAGGAAATATGATATTATAATAGTCCACTTAAAAGGCTATGATGACTGCCCTAGCCGGTTTGGCTCAGTGGATAGAGCATCAGCCTGCGGACTGAAGGGTCCCAGGTTCGGTTCTGGTCAAGGGCACATGCCTGGGTTTCGGGCTCGATCCCCAGGTGGGGCAAGCAAGAGGCAGCTAATCAATGATTCTCATCATCAATGTTTCTATTTCTCTCTCTCCTTCTTCCTTCCTCTCTGAATCAGTAAAAAAAGACACAAACAAACAAGCCATGATGAATAAAAAGCAGAGAGAACAGATGAAATGGATGGGATGCTTTCTCTAGAATATACCACAAATTTAACAGTACCTACTCTTAGATTGAACATGAGAAGGGGAAGAAGAATCACAGAAAGCCATTAAGAGGCTTGAAACCTGGCAAAGCAGAGGCCAGGGTGTCTTCCTGATTGATTCCACTGCCCTACCTGTTGGTGGTCCCCAATTAGAATGAGGTGCTGGCAAGCTTTGCTCAATGTGGCAATGGTGTGGGCCTCAAGGACTTCAGCAGCCTCTTCCACAATGACAATCCGTGGCTCTACCTTCTGCAGAATCTGGCGATATTTTGCAGCACCTCAGTTCAAGAGAAAAAAAATAGTGTCCTCTGAAATGACGTACTGGACCCACCAGGCCAGTGGGTTTCTGGGTCTGTGACAACTGGGCCCTCACATTCATCTAGGGCAGTGGTGACTACTGTATGAGAAAAGTGCTGCTGGATGGTCACCAGAGCATTAAACCCATGTTCGTCATTGCTGGGATTCTAAATGCAAGAGGAGCAAGTAGGTGAATTTCACCCACAGTTCCTTAAATGCAGCTTGCTTGCTTTCCATAGCTTTTCATGGTATTTTCCCTAACCTACTAGAGAAGCTTCCTTTATCTGCTGTAGATAATCTGATAGGAACTTGGCACCAGGAGGGAATGGCTGGAGCAGGTAAATTTCCTGGAGTTCTCTTACCTGTGGTTGTCATTCCTATGACCTGGGCATCTTTCAGAATGTGCAGGTCTTCCTGGAGTCTCAGCTCGGCCATTCTCTCTGCTGATGTGCGGTAGTGGTGCTCATAGTTGAGGATCTTTCGACGGGTGTCAGCCTGATACTTCTGTAGCCACAGCCTGAAGAATGTGAAGAACTAGGTAGAGGGAACTGCATATTCTTTGAGAAGGTGGAATAACTCCCTTTAGTGTGCCCTGTGTTTGAAGTGGAACCTAGACCACTGAGGAGCTTACAGGTAGGCCAAAGAGAGAAAGGAGAGACCCAGATGTGCATGGACCCAAGTGTCTAAAAATGCCCAACAAAAATATGTGTAGAGATGTGTATTTAAGTACTGGTAGTTAGGAACTAAAGAAGGAGGTGGGATAAAGAACAGAGGTTAAATACTGGGAATAGAGTGAGGGACTTCAAAAGTTTCAAGAATTATTTCTCCAAATTCTTTCTACTCCATTCCTAGCTGAGTCTTCTTTCCTTCCCAATTCTCTAGTCTTCTTTTACAAGTAAAACAGATCATGTCACTACTCTGCTGTAAAATCTTTCAATGGGGCCCAAGCCAGTTTGGCTCAGTGGATATAGCAGGAAGGATCCTGGATTCAGCCCCGGTCAAGGGCATGTGTCTTGGCTGCAGGCTCATTCCTGGATCTGGTTGAGGTACAAGCGGGAGGCAACCAATTGATGTGTCTCTATCACACTGATGTTTTTCTCCTCTTCCTTCCACTCTTTCTAAAAACAAAACACAGACACACACACACACACACACACACACACACACACACAATGGAAAAATATCGAGTAAGGGTTAGTAACTAAAAAATTAAAAAAAAAAATCGCCCTGATTTGGCTCAGTGGATAAAGCATCGGCCTTTGAACTGAAGGATTTCAGGTTTGATTCTGGTCAAGGGCATGTACCTTGGTTGTGGGCACATCCCTAGTAGGGGGTGTGCAGGAGGCAGCTGATTGATGTTTCTCACTTATCAATGTTTCTAACTCTCTATCCCTCTCCCTTCCTCTTTGTAAAATATCAATAAAATATATTTTAAAAAGAAAAAAAATATTTCAATGGATTTTCAATACTCTTCAGATAAAAGTCTTCCTCCTCACCTTAGCCCTATGAGGTATGCACTGTCAGGCCTCTGCCCACCTCTTTGACTTAACTTTCCATTTATTTCTCTAAGCCACAGCCATACTGGCTGTCTTTTTCAATTTTTCAAACAGATGTTCCCTCCCTTCTCAAGACCTTTATCCATGAAGTCCCTAAAGTATCATCTGTTCCCACTTCCCTATTGGCCTTATACCTACTCCTCTTTTAGATCTTGCCTCCAATGTCATTTTCCTGAAAACCTAAGACCAGCCTAGATGTCACATGATATTATTAGCACCCCTAGATCTTTTCTTTCTTAAGTGCTTAATGCCCATTTGTAACTTTTTATTTGTGGAATTAACTAATTTGTATCCTTGGACAGACTCTAAACTCCATGAGGAGATAGAGCCAAGTGTCTTCTGTCTCATGGCTGCATCTCCAGCATTCAGCTCAATCTATCATTAGTTAACATTGCTGAAGGTCTGGGGTGTTATATTCTAGGAAAGAAAAGGAACTTCCTGGGGAAATTACATGGGCTGGCTGGGGGAGGTGAGAGTGGGTACAGTACCTATAAAGCTGCCAGCGAGAATTCAGGTCCAGCTGCCAAACATCCTGGATTTCATTGGCCTCAGCCTCAGTCATGGTGTTTAGTTTGCGAAGTTCATGTTTCATTTTCTTCTTCATTTTCTTTTTCTGGCTACGCTGGGTCTATAGACATCAATACCAGCCAGAGTCACCATCTCAGCAGAGGTGGCCCTATTCCAAGCCATAGGTGTGGGTCACAGCACATAAAAAAAAGAGGCTGCCACCTCTAATTTCTTTAAATGTTTCACTCTCTCAACAGATATTCCATTGCAGAGTGGCAAAATGAAGACTCTGGGACCGATGTGCCTAGATTTAAAGCCCCACCTACTTCTTATTAGTTGCTGGACTTAAAGTTACTGAACCTTTATGAGCCTCAGCATTGCTTCTATAACATGGGAATAGAATAGTACCTCGTCACAGGGTTGTTGGATTGACTAAAGGAGTAATACATGGAAAGCACTTAGAATAGTGCTGGCACCAGTTTCACTGATCGTCTTTTGACCAGTTTGTTCCTCATTCCTAAAACTTGTGTCATGAAAGTAGTGGAGATGAGTCTTTCTTGCTAAGTACTACACAGTATCTCCTGTACATATCATGATAGTGCCTTTAAGAAGTGGGGTAAGCCTCGATTGGTTTGGCTCAGTGGATAGAGCATTTGCCTGTGGACTCAAGGGTCCCAGGTTCGATTCCCGTCAAGGGCATGTACCTTGATTGCGGGCACATCCCCAGTGGGGAGTGTGCAGGAGGCAGCTGATCGATGTTTCTCTCTCATTGATGGTTCTAACTTTCTATCCCTTTCCCATCCTCTCTGTAAAAAATCAATAAAATATGAAAAAAAAAAAAAAAGAAGTGTGCTAAAGGCACCATTTAGGAGAAAGTGCTGTTCCATGGATGTGACTCTGGCATGTGAGACAAATGTCACATTATGGACCTTATCCCACTTCAAAACCAAATTCCTAAGGCCATATGGCAGAGAGATCCACATTTCAAACTATTGGGATGATGAATCCACCCATCATATATAGCGATGTTGAACTGAACTAAGCAATCAGGTTCAAAGCCATCAGACCAATGTAAATTCCATCTAAAGTTATCCCTGAAAGTCCTTTAAATCAACAGTTGTTTTCAGAAAATGTTATTTTGAATATCCAGTCCTCTATTATCATAGTGATGCATGCTAAATTTTGAGGACCACTGTGTTCTACCAAAGGAAGGAACAGAGGGAAAGTCCACATGTGGGCTTCTGAGTATTCACACTATTCTGGCTTTAAGAGAAATACCAAATTCCAGGGTGAAGTATTCTATCCCTGTATGGCTTGTTTCATTCCATTTTACTTAAGCCCTCTAAAATCTGGATGCATGTTCAGATATGTTTATAGTTTCTAGTTTGTAGAAGATAACACCCATAGAAGCCTCGAGCACTAAGACCATACATATTTGATCTGACCCATATGTGCTGCATTTTTCTGGAAGTTCAAGGGAAGCACCTGACTACCTGCTTCCTGTGTAAGTTGGTATTTCTTGCCAGGACCCCTCTGAAGGGCCAACATCTTTATATTCTTGGGAATTAGACTTGCTTGGGTATGGTTGTAAAAGGGGTAAATTTAGCTAATTGTGATGATGAGAGGAATACACTGTAATAAACGTGGGTGAAAAGAAGGGGCTGCCTTTCTGATCAGAGCAGATGTTCTCAGGCCTCTTTCAGCAGAGTCGAACCCCCACCTGCCAGGCAGTAATAACTGAACTCCCATTTCCCATTGTTAGGACTTTAAGGGAAGTGAGTTTACCTCCCACTCTTCTGCGGGTTGCTCCTGCCCAGCTGCTGTCCCAGGGCCACTGTTTTCTATCCGTGTGGCCAGAAGCAATTTAGCCAATTCCTGGACTGCCCCATTCTCTTCCTTCTTCCGCCGCCGGGGTCTCACAACCTCTTCCTCCTCAATCACCCGGTCTGCTTGAATCAGGTCAGCCTCCTCTGCGATCTCAATCAGAGAACCCTCCTCTTCTCCTTCTTCCTCTTCCTCCTCATCCCCTTCTGCCTGGGCTAAGAGAGAAAAACAGGCAGGACAAGGATGAAGACCTCTTGAAGCCAAAGGATGAAAGAGGGCACTGACAAGAGCTTAGATGGATGAAGACATTCTCAAAGCAATTTAAGTGGTTACCTCTAGGGAGGACCCTGGGAGGAATGAGAGGAGATGAACACTTAGGTTTCCTTACATATTTTTTTGTTAAAATTTTTAAAAGAATATTTTTATTGATTTCAGAGAGGAAGGGAGAGGGAGAGAGATAAAAACCAATAATGAGAATCCTTGATTGGCTGCCTACTCCACACTCCTAATGGGGAATGAGCCTGAAACCCAGGTATGTGCCCTTGACCAGAATTGAACCAGGACCCTTCAGTCAGCAGGCTGATGCTCTATCCATTGAGCCAAACCAGTCAGGGCTGTTAAATTTTGTCATACTCGTTTTCCCCTTTAAACGATATCTTTAGCCCTGGCTGATTTTGCTCAATGGTTAGAGCATCAACTTGCACACCAAAGAGCCACAGATTCGATTCCCAGTCAAGGGCACCACCTGGATTGTGGGTTTGCACCCCATCCCGCAGTGAGACATGTGTGAGAGGCAACCATATCAATTTTTCTCTCTCTCTATCCCCTTCCCTATATCTCTTCTAGTCTCTCTGACAATCAATGAAAAACATATCCTTAGGTGAGGGTTAACAAGAAAAATCTGCCACATACAGGAAAGGGCAAAGGTGGATTTACATTTGTTCATATAGAAATACAATAATTAATAATATAGGAATAAACTGTTTTGTGTACTCACAACTATAAACATACTTTTGTCCCACCCCATATAATGTATATATACACACCTCTATAACATATTTTTAGTCTTGACTTTTTTGAGCATTAACTGCAATCATATTATATCTTTTCCTTTGCCTTTTTCATTCAGCATGTTTAGATTCCTATGTTGCCATATATTCTCTGATTCCTTTTCACTACTGTATAGTATTTCACTATCTGATGCAGTTGATCAACAGCATCCGTTGTATAAATGTGGATAGACACTTGAGTTCTTTCCCCCCCATTATCATAAAGTGGTGTGCTGACTACTATCTGCACTAGCAGTGTAGCAGAGCTCCCACTGCTTCACCTTCTTATCAATGTGAGGTTATATACAACTTTTAAATTTTTGCCAATCTGGTGGCATAATAGTACTTCATTGTGGTTTTAGCTTCTCTAGTTTCTAATGAGCAACTCTCATATGTTTACTATTAGGATTTCATATTTTGTGATGTGTCTGTTAAAAGTGTTTTATCTATTTTCCTACTAAGCTATTATTTCTCTTTTCTAATTGATTAAAGCTCTTTATATATCCTAGGTATTATTTTTAAGTTCTGCTCTTCTGGTCTTTACCATATTCCACCTTACAATGTGATTCTAGGTAGACACGCACTTCTTACCTATATTTTCAGGTCCCGCTGGAGCAACACTTTGGGTGAAAGAAACGACACCCAGACCCAGCCACTCCAGCATCATGGAATGCTTCCAGCTTTGGAAGCAGACCCATTCACTATCCTGAGGAAGGAAGAATTATCAATCATGAGAATTCTATGACAACCAGTGTGAAGGAAAATTCTCCTTGATAAATTAAAAGTAATTTTCTTAAAATTCAGTGGCTGCAAATTGGCAACTGTATTATTTAATATGACTTGCATAGAATTTTGAAAGTAAGAATTTCCTGCCTCTAGAATGGCTTATTTATTTCCCTTAGCATAATATTCTCCAGGTCGATCCATGCTGTGGCAAAAGAAAGAATATTCTGACCTGGCAGGGGGTTGTATGTCCCCAGGACCTGGGAGTCAATCTTGGACCTGAAAGTCAACTTTAGAATTTGGTCTATTCTCATTGAAGAACTGCCTATTATTATGGAAAAATTAACAACCTTGTTGCCCAAACAATGGAGTCCCACCCCACATTGCCTACTTTCCCATTCCTATAATCCCTATTTCCCCATGTAATCCCCTGACCTATCCTATATAAGCAGCTGGCTTATGGGGGGCTGCGGAGCAGATTTTTGTGGATGACCTGCTGCTTTCCCATATTGCCAGTAATTCTGGAATAAACCCTCATAAAAAAAATAAAATAAAAAAAATTCCTGCCTCTCTTGATAAAATCAGGAGCTATGGCAGCAACGAGGTTGCATTCCTAAATGGCAATAAATGAGCTGGCAATGGGTTGCTGCTGCCCCTTTTCCAGTTTTCCATAATCCTATTTCCCAATGTCTCACATCTAACCTGCTTCAGTCATTTTTAGTACTTAATGGACCCTGTTTAGGCTTTTGGGTTTGTAACCCTGAAATTCACCAACCCATTAATAATAGATGTGCCATTTCACTAGACTCCTGGCCAGTCACTTTACAGAGATTATGTTAGTTACTTCTCATAATATTTTTTCAAGGCAGGCATTATTATTATCCTTGACTGAGACCAAGTCATATGATCAGTCTGTGTGACTTAAGTCTGTTGACCCCAGGCTTTCTGTACATGCTAGCTTGTCTTGTTATGATATTTCATTTAACAAGAATTTATAGCACTCATTAAGAAGTTTACAAGTATTAACTTGTTTATCAAAAAAAAAAATCCTGTAAGAAACTCCATTTTTGCAAGTCAAATATACAAAATGGCAATTTCATATGGTTAATTTGATATTATTACCCCCACTTTGTAAATGAAGAAATAGGCACAGAAAAATCAAGTAACTTGCTCAGAGCAAAACCAGGATTCCAACCTAGAACGCTAGCTCCACAGTCTTGTTCTTGATTAGTATACTCAGCTGTCTTTCCTCATGAAACGAAACTTCTAACATGGCAGCATCAGATTATCAAACAGCTAATGCTTCTGTTGAAGGCTCCAAGTACTGAGTCAAGACAGATGCTTGTATTCCCCAAGATGACCCCTACCTGTATTGGTCCACTTATCAGGCTTTTCCAGTGCTGGGAGGAAATGTACTTCTCCAGGTACTGTTCCCGTAGTACGCCATGCATGGTGCACTCCAGAGTCCGGGACCCAATATGCAGCTCTTGTTCTGACTCCTTCATTTGTGTCATGATCTGCCAAGAACAGTAGTAAAGAAATGAAAAGAAAGCATCATCCCCCAATCTCAGTCCCTGCCTTGAGGAAAAACAAAGTTAAGATAGGAACAGCAAGAAGGGAGAATAAATAAATATGTCAGTCAACAAACCAATTTCCCAAAGCACATTACTGTGGTCTTAAAACAAAAGGTTTAATATCTAAATTGTCTAAAATAGCCAAAACTGGTTTGGCTCAGCGGATAGAGCGTCGGTCTGTGGACTGAAGGGTCCCAGGTTCAATTCCGATCGGGGGCATGTGCCTTGGTTGTGGGCACATCCCCATTAGGGGGTGTGCAAGAGGCAGCTGATCGATGATTCTCTCTCATCGATGTTTCTATCTCTCTGTAAAAAATCAATAAAAATATATTTAAAAAAAGAAAAGAAATATAGGCCAAGAATACTGTGATAGAGACTTCTCTTTTTCCCTCAGTAAAAACTCAGAGTTTTAGTTGGGACATGGTTGATCAGCTAGAAGATGGTTAGTAGACTATAAGTAGAAGTGCTGTGGGTAGTTTGGGGCAATCAGCCTGAGGTCCTGGCAGGAGTTGGGAGGGGGCAGCATTCTCTTTTTTGCCCTTTCTGCACTTCAGATTATAAGGCCAAAGGTCACACCACAAGATTAGCAGAATGTAATGCTGGAATAAAGTTGGGTCCTTCATATCTTTGTGGAGCATCTATCTGCCTTGGACTGTCTACTCAGAAAGCCAATGCTTGCTTAGTTCCCTTTTGCGCTACCTCTTAATATCCACACTGGGACTTACATTCATGTAGGCC